TCTCATCCTTTCTTCTTTTCCTGGACTAAGAAATGCCTTCTTATCTCTATTTGCATTCCTTCTCCAAGGTTATCTTTGTATTCCTTTGCAGGATGGTGTCAGTTTCTGAATATTCTACAATTTGCTTTCTTCCTATTTAACATTACTACTTGGAGATAGTGGATGGTTCCACTTTAAGTAGCTGAAGTATTTGGCTATTACATCCCTTCCCAAGACTTTTGTTATTGTAGCTTTCCAGAATGTCATCCCTCTTCTTTTCCCGTAGAGGTTAATTTCCAGTCCAATTAATCATCCTTGATCTTCTTTAAGCCCATTCCAAATTCACTTGAACCCTATTTGAACAAGATACTCAGGCACATACAGTACCAGACACACAGACCTAGAATGTGATGTCAAAGTATGCTCCCAGGGATACAGTCTAAAACCGTATTTATCTTTTTTTTTTTTCTGCAGCCAAATCACACTGTTGTTAATGCCTATTCAGACTGTCGGAAGTTGAACATTTATTGCTGGCATAACAACTTGTTATGCATCTGATGATTATGGCAAAAGAGGGAGAAATTCTGGAATCCTTGTGCAGGAGAGTGGGGAAAACAGTCAATTATGCTTAAAGCGAAAGCCCTGTTAAAGAGTACAGGAGCTGACCTACTCCCACAAGCCTGAAAAATATGTCAGCAAAGAAAGAAAAGAAAAACTCTGTAGTTGAAGAATTAGAATTTGAATGACCACCACTCCAGTCAACAACAGAATCTTCTACCACTCTTCCCATGCAGCCTCACACCCTACCCAATTTGTCTGTCATCAGGCCAGAAATGCCACGTACCCATCAGCAAAGTTGCCATGGTATCATTTAGAAGCAGAGCAATGCTGCTGCTGGGTAACAGTGCACTCCCTATCCCACAATACACAGCTTGACAGGCATTTAAGGGTTCCCTCTCACTTCTTCTGGCACTAACAGCCACTCTCCTTTCATTCCAAAGCATCACACAAAAGAATCTTGCAGCCCTGTCATGCAGCTTCTTGTTGTGTAAAAGGAAAGATTGCTGGGTTACAGAGCTGAAGAAATTTCTTTTTTGTCTGAGACCTGGGGTTAAAAGTATAGACTGACATCTTAGGGCAACTGTGAGTACAGTGGCACCTCTTTCTTTTTCCCTTCCTGGGAATCCCTGAACGACAGGAACTGGTGTGTTTTAAATGTTTCTGGTACTTATGACTGAGGAGAAAAGCTTAAAAGCTGTGCAGGTGGCATTTCTGAATCAGCAAAGCCATGGAGGCTGGTAGAAAGGGCCTACAATTTTGCAAGATGTATCTCCCCTCCCCACCCCAAGGGATGGTTATCACATGCTAAGTTTTGGGCTTTCATGTTATTATCCCCTCCAAATACTTTTTTTAAACAAGGAATAAAACCAGTGTCCCCCAGATTTGTTGGGACTTTTAACTCCTATAGTTCCTTGGGAAGGTTGGCCAAATAATATGAGGCTGAGAAAGGATACTAAGAAAGGCCAGTTTGTCCTTTCTTCAGACTGAGAGGGATACATGTAAACATTGTATGGCTTTGGAACTTGCTGATGTCTATTTCCAGGTCCATGAATCTAGAACTGACCCATCCAGTTCTAGTTTCAAATAATAAGTGTCCCCTAGTTCATTTTGCTGTACTCCCAAAGAGAAACTAGTATGGAAAGCAAATAAAAAGGATCACAGGGAACCAGGAGAAAAAATTACCCTGCTAATAATGATCATCCTTAATCCACTGCTTCTGAAAAAGCTGTTGAGCACTAAGGTGGAATCTTTATTTCCAACATTTTTCTCACCCACAGCCCAGATGCTCCCTCACGGTTAGCAAGCAGAGAATCTCTTTGACTCATGCTCTTATGCTGAATCCCTGAAGTGATGAAAATCATGGAGATAAAAGGCAGACTGCCTTTGTATAGTACAAGAATACCTGTTTTCCAAGCAATATTTAGTTCTTTACCTTTTGGATTAAAAAGAGCAAGTAGCAAGTGTGAGAAAAAATCCCACTGGCTGACATGAAATGCATCCCCCCCCCAAAAAACAACAACAACACAGTGCACAAGAAATCTCACCACGTGCTTCAACATCCATCAACACACAAATTTATTCCACGTTTTTCAGAATCACAGAATCATGTTCTTGTAGTTTATAACCTTAACTTCTGTGTTGTGGATCAATGCACTGTAAAGACATCTAATATCTGTTAATGAAGGGTTTTATGTTTAGAATAGGGGATATCAGCTTGGTCCTTGCCCCAAACCTGCCTGTTTGGAGTACTTGGGTCTGTTTTGTCCTATGCAGAAGTGAGAAGGGGGCAGCAGAGGAAATCTGAGGATACTAGCCCATGGGGAAAGGAAGGCAAGAAGGGGAAGACTCTTCACCATTTACAATCATCTTGTTTGATACATTATTTGCTAATTATTCTGCTCATCATAGCTACTTATGTTCTGACCTTGCTGTCTTCTATGTAGCCACTGATATTTATCCCACGTTTCATAATACTCAGATTCCCCGTTTTTTTATTTCTAGGGTTAGCCTGTCTCATTCTGCACAGACCATAATTTTCTTTATTATCTCTGTTTCTGGTGGTATGCTTTCCTTTTTTGGGGTTGATTTTTGTTTATTATTATTATTATTTTACTGTATGAATATAACACGGTGTAGCAGTTCTAGCGTTACAATTGTTATACATATAAAAATGTTACTTCACCCATTTACAATCATGATTGTAAATGGTGAAGTAAGATTTATACATGTATAACAATTGTAACGTCAGAACAGCTGCACTGTGTTGTATTCATACAGTAAAAAACAAATAACAACAACAATAATAAAAATAATAAAAATTCAAGAAGGGGAAAACTCTGAGAAGATGAGGGAGCAGATAGATGGCTGAAATACACTGTGCCACAATATCAATGGTAGAAGAAAGGAGATGAAGCTGCTGGGAAGACCTGGAAGGACAGGTAGGGTGATGGGAAAGAGCCACTGGGAGACTGGCAGTGGCAGCAGCTGAGGAAAAGGAAGGGACCACTGACTGTTCCTGAGGGGACAGAGAGGCAAAAGTGTACCTCCCTTCCTTCACTTATCCCACCCCATGCTCCCAATAACCCCCGATTCTGAATTTCAGTCCTACTGAATCATGGCTGACTAACCTGAAAAACAGTTCAGCAGAAATGTCAGAACATGCTGCTTTATTGTGAGGCACAAAACCAAATTTTGGACATCTTCCTTGTACCCCCCCCACAAAAGGTGAAACTCCTTTAATTCTTTGGTAACGTACTAAAGGCCCTTCTTCATTTCCTTTTAAGCATGCCATTAACATGCCCTGGCAACATCTCCTTCTCTGCCTTGTCCTCATGACTGCCTTAATTTTGCCTCCAGCCCATGAGTGAGACTGCCTCAAGTCATCCCCAATCATATTGGATTTGAAATAATATTTTCCATTTTCTTCCAACAATATCTAAGGAAACCCTCAGGGTACATGTACTCTATTAGGTTTCTTTACCTTTTAACCTGGGGGAGTCTGAAATAGCAACAATAGAAACAGGATAGAAAGATGCAATAGGGACAAGAGACAGCTTTCTGATGATAACTAACACAAGTGAAAAACAAGGAGTTGATGGCAAATTCTGCCTGGACTGTAAAATGGTTGGTAGAGACCTCAGGTGACATATGATATGGCTTGTAAACTCTGTGTTGTTTAGTCAATCTCTGTGCTATGAAAACAAGATACAATGATGAAACTTTCTGCTGTGTATCATCTCTCCTTCCAACATGGCACTGATTTTCTTGAGGTGAAAAACTCACAGACTGAAATACTATACTTCAGCCAGGCCTCTCTGCTAGCATTTTTTCTTTCTCCAGGAGAAAGATTCTAGGTGTAGCAATAGCACTTAAGACTTATATACCACTTCATAGCGCTTTACAGCCCACTCTTAAGCGGTTTACAATGCTAGCCTATTGCCCCCAACAATTTGAGTCCTCATTTTACCAACCTCAGTAGGATGGAAGGCTGAATCAACCTTGAGCCTGGTGACACCTGAACCCCTGGCAGTCAGCAGAATTAGCCTGCAGTACTGCATTCTAACCACTATGCCACCATAGCTCCTATATCTGGTCTGCTGCCAATAATGATAAATATACAGAGCTTACTCAAAGGTACCATTTTTATCATAAATGTACCCTAAGGCGGAGTCAAGTGTATGGCATGGAAGCCGCAACAAAAGTTTCAAGATTTAGCAATTGTGATACATACCACGCATACAAAATACGGGCAAAAAAGGACTGTATTGTCATTTGGAAAGCGTCGCTTTATACAGCTCCCCACCTATCCTGCAAAAGAGCTGTCTTTTATCAGAAGGACCTCAGGGCCCAATGGATGCAAATATTAAAAACAACAACAACAATATATTTCTCCCACTATTGCGCTGGAGCTATTTTCGCCTGAAGGGTACAGGAGCTGCACTGGACACACCCAAGGGCCCAACATCCCGTTTCCAACCCTACCCAGTCAGGTGTCTTCCAAGAACCAAAGTAGGGCCCTTCTGTTCAATTGGGGTGGGTGGGTGGTTGTGGGTTGGATGTTTATACATTTAGGGGCAGGCTAGCCAAAGGGAAACCCCCTCCCCTTGCTCTCTACGACTAAGCTGTGCCAGACCGATTGACTCAGTAATAACTGAGGCCTCCCCACCCTCTATCTAAACCTTACCGGATCTTGCTTTCCGGATACTCAAGAGAGGGGTGGGAAGAAGGGCGAAGAGCTATATTTTCTGACGAAGGAGAGGGGGAATCGTGCCGGACGCCGAATCCTCCATCCTTCCGCCGCCACCCAGAAACACAGTTCGCGGGCAAGGCTTTCTCTTCCCCTTCTCCAAACCCCCCCGGGGGTCTCAAGCGCCGCTCGCTCATTCTCGGCGAGGCAGAGAATGTGCAAGGGAATCTCCTTTCCCGCACGCGGCCGGGGCGAAAAGACTGGCTTTCCCTACCTGACCTGCAGGAGCACAGCTCAGATCTCGGGGCTTCGCTCCACCATCCGACCGCGGCTACCGAGGGACCCTCTTCCAATTGCTGCCTGCGCGACGGGACACTTTTTTTGCGGGCTTTTTTGGGGGGGGCGGGTCGGGCGAGCAGCGCCCTTTCCAGGCCAGCTGCACCTCCGCCGGCTACGCCTCTCGCGCGTTGCCCGGTCTGCCTCGCCGGGCTGTAAAATAAAGCACACCGTGGCACCACAACAAACCAACTCGGTGAAGCCAAGGGAGCGTCTGCGAATGACCAGCCCCGTGCAAAGGGCCGCACCGGTTAGAAAAGGGAGAGGAAGCCCTTCGGTCCTCCTGCCCCACCCACCTGGGCTCCGGCGTGCGGGGACCGCCCATATGCCTGCTTGCCCGGGGATGAGCGATGCCTCTTTGCCCGCCCCTGCCGAGGGCTGTTCGGAGTCGCCTCAACTCTATGTCACAAAGAGCTCGAACTTTCCATCGGCGAAGAAAACGTTCGCTAAGCGAGCGGGCAAAGAGGGACCTTCTCGTTCCGCCTTCCGCCCCTCCCTTCCGCAACACTGCAGCAGAAAACGGGAGCCTCCTCGGGAGTTTCCTCGCCTCTTCAGAATGCCCGGGGAAGGGACCATCCCCAAATTATCAACTCAGCCACGGGGAGAAAGAGAGAGGAGAGGAAAGGTTTCCCTTTGCCGGCACGATCGTATCGCGGAGGATCGCTCTCTTGGGGAACGGCGAGCAACTCGTTCTCCCTCGCAAACCTGTTTACAGTAAAAGTTCAAACAAGCTGCTGAAAAATAAAATAAAATAAAGCGTCGCCGTCTGAAGGTCCTAGCTTTACAGTTAGCTTAGGCGACAACTAGCCAGGCAACAAACTAGCCAGCATCTAAGTTGTGGGATTGATTTTGGTGGGGTTAGTTTATGGTCTGGTGGGTCACGTGATCTTTTTTTTTTTTTTTTAAATGGACTGAGCGAGCCATGACTCAGAGAAATGTGATTAGTGAGGGGAATCGCATCATCTATTTGCACCTGAGCTTTTTTGGCCACAGGGACAAATGGGGGGTATGGAGGAAGAGGAAATTTTTCTATGCCTGTCTCTGCTCTGGATTTCTAGTTAAAAAAAAATCAAGTGTTCAGGAGGCACAGCAGACCACCCCTTTTCAAGTTGTAGCTTAAAGAGAAACAAGGCCAGTCTTAGATTTCTTTACTGATATTTGGACTGAGTCCAGAGTCTGCATCCAAGGCGCCAGGGACATCCTGCTTCTTAATTGCTCCGTATTCTTCCAGCACTTGCCTATGTTCAGAAGCACATTCTCTAAAATGTCATTTGCTGAATTGAAATTACCTACAATAAGGGACTGAACAGAAATGAAGGAGAAGGATGAGATAAGATGGGCATATTGTTAAGGAGATCTGGAGAAGATTGCAGGGTGGAATGTGCTACCTCTCCCTTCTGAGGAGCCAAGCATCCAAAGTTCATCTTTAGACTATGTTTGCAAGGGTTTTTATACATGCATGGGATTCCAGGCATAGGATCCAATACTTGCAGAGAAACCCCATTCTATGTGTATATCTATTCATGCAATTCACTTCTTTTTTAATTTATTGTTTTTTAAAAACAAACATAAACAAACAAAACATAAAAACATCAAGCTATCTTCCATAGGTGTACATACAGTGTGCCCGTTGGTTTACAAATTGTTTTGTACTTCCATTTCATAGTCTTCAATTACAATTACATTACATATAATCTCATATTGTCAATCAAAAATTAAATACCTTAGTATCATTATTAATCAATCATTTGACTATTATTCATTCATGTTTTACAAGATAACCATAATTTACTTAGTTTATTTTATAACAGTTCATATTATCATCCCAAATCTATCCTAAAATCATTTTGTAGATATAATAAGAAGTACATCTTTATATATTTATTATTTTCTAAGAGTCTACATATTTCATTACTGTACTTTATTGTCTAACCATTGATAGAAAAGATCCCAAATTTTATAAAATTGTTTATCCTCTTGTTCTTTAATTTCAAATGTCAATCTACTCATTTCAGCACATTCCAATATTTTCTTAATGATTTCCTCCTGTGATGGTATTTTCTCATTTTTCCAGTTTTTAGCAAATACAATCCTAGCCGCTGTTAATACATTTACAATCAGGTATTTCAAGTCTTTACTATATATTTCAGGTAAAATTCCCAATAAAAATATCTCTGGTTTCAAGTCTATATGTTTTTTGTCATTTTTTCCAACCACATGTGGATTTTAGTCCAGTATTTTTTAGCATCCGCACAAGTCCACCACATATGGTAATATGAGCCAGGTGTCTGATGACATTTCCAACATTTTTCGGATTTATTCTTGAACATTCTTGCTATTCTTGTTGGGGGAAAATGCCACCTGTAAAACATCTTATACAAATTTTCTTTATATGCTGTTGACATTGTCATTTTATAATTTTGAGACCACAATTTTTGCCATTTCTCTAAATCGATCCCATATCCAAAATTCTTCCCCCAAGCAATCATAGTTTCTTTAACTTGTTATTCTTCTAATTTAATTTCTAATAAATATCCATACAATTTTTTAAATCACCTTTTCATCAATACCTGTCAAAATCTTATCTAAATCAGTCAATTTATCATAGAAACCTTCCATTTTAGAATCTTTATCATATCTTGAATGTATTTGCGCATATGAAAACCAATTCATCTTTATACCTTGTTCCTCTAGTTTTTGCATAGATTTAAGTTCACCCTTTTCATTCAATATTTCACCATATCTAACTGTTCCTTTTTGTATATTATAGGATACGAAAATGCTTCAATAGTCGATAACCAGACTGGAATTTTCAAATAACATTGTCTTTTAATCTTCTCCCAGTTTAACCACAGAGACTCCCGTATATAATGTCTTCTAAAATACCCCTGTGTTTTTTGTACCATAAAAAAGCATGCCACCCCAACAACAAATAATGTGTTCTAATGTCAACAATCTAGTATTTCTTAGTATTATCCATTCGTTAACCCACATCAGATTTGTAGCTTGGTAGTACAACTCCCAATTAGGCAAACCAAATCCTCCTCTAATTCTAGCATCTTGCAAAAGTTTTAACTTTATTCTCGCTTTCTTACCTTGCCATATATATTTCAACACAATTTTATTTAAATCTTCAAAGTAGTCTTTTCCAAGCCTAATTGGAATTGTTTGAAACAAATATAAAATTCTGGGTAATATATTCATCTTGATTGTTGAAATTCTCCCTATTAGCGACAGTTGTAAGTTTTCCCATTTCGCCAAATCTAGCGCTATCTGCTGTTTAAGTTTAATATAATTATTCTCTTTTAATGTACTACATCTTGCTGTCAAATATATCCCCAAGTACTTGATCTTATTCGTGACCTGAATTTTCAATAGGTCTGCCAGTTCTTCCTTTTGTCTTAGTAGCATATTCTTTGTCAAAATCTTTGTCTTATCTTTATTTTCAAAACAGGCACCTTTCCATATGTCTCTATCTTTTCTATCAATTTTGATGCTGTTTCTAAAGGGTCTTCTAAAATGAAAACCAGATCATCCACAAATGCTTGCAGCTTAAATTCTTCCTTTTTGATTTTCATTCCTTTTATATTCTTTTCATCTCTAATATTTCTGTTTAGCACTTCCAAAGTTAACACAAACAACAAAGGTGATAGTGGGCACCCTTGTCTTGTTCCTTTTCTTATATTAATAGAGTCTGTCAGTTCTCCCTCTATCATTACCTTTGCTGTTTGCTTATAGTATATAGCTTCTATTGCTTGAATAAATTTTCTAGCAAAACCCATCTGTTCCAACAATAATAACATGAATCACCAATTCACATTATCAAATGCCTTCTGTGCATCTAGAAATATCAGAGCCATTTGTTTTTCAAGATGTGCCTCGTAGTATTCCAAGGTGTCCAAGATTGCTCTCATATTGTCTTTAATTTGTCTCTTTGGCAGAAATCCATTTTGATCAGGATGGATAAAATTATTTAAACATTTTTAAGTCTTTCTGCCAATATTGAAGCAAAGATTTTATAATCTGCATTTAGTAGAGAAATGGGTCTATAGTTCTTAATTTGTAATGGGTCGGCCTCCTCTTTTGGAATAAGTGTAATATAGGCTTCTGACCATGATTTAAGTATCTTCTTCTTTAACATAACTTCATTCATAACTTCTAGCAATGGAAGATTCAACGATTCTTGTAATGTTTTATAAAATTCTGCCGGAAGTCCATCTGGGCCTGGTGCCTTTCCATTATTTTGCTTCTTGAGTGCTTCAGTTAACTCCATCATCATTATATTGCTTTCTAACATTTTTTCAGTCTCTTTAGCTATCTGAGGTAAATTAGCATTCTGTAAGTACTGCTTAACTCTTTCCTCATCAATATTCTCTTGCATATATAATTTCCCATAGAAGTCTCGAATGATTTCCTTCTTCTCTTTGCTACCATGGCAAACTTGGTCTTGGTCATCTATTAATTGCAATATTTTCCTTGATTCTTTCTCCTTTCTCAATTTGTATGCTAACCATCTACCTGGTTTGTTTGCGTCTTCAAACTAGTTCTGTTTAGCACCTCTAATTTTCTGTGCTAATTCTTCTTTTTCTATTTGACCCATTTTGTGTTTAATTATATCCATTTTTAGCTTGATGTCCTTTTTCTGCGGCATTTTCTGTAGCTCTTTTTCAAGTCTTTTATGCTCATCCTCTAGGGCCTTAGAGGCTAGCCTTTTCATAGTATTCCTTTTCCTTGTATAGTCTATTATCAAGCCTCTCACATATGCCTTCATTGTATCCCATACATTCTGAATTGATGTATCTTCTTTTTTGTTTTCTCTAAAGAAAAAAGCCAATTCTTTCTCCATCCACTGTGTGAAGTCTTTTTCCTTTAAACTAGTAGTATTTAACGTCCATCTAGATCTTCTTTTTTGTCCTTTCCATTTAATTGTCATTGGATTGTGATCTGCCCAAGTACTTGTTTCAATATTTATTTCTTGAATGTTAGATATTAATTCTGTTGACATCCATATCATATCTATTCTGGACCATGATAAGTGTCTATTTGAATAGAAGGTGTATTGTTTAGTTTTAGCATTTCTTTATCTCCATGTATCTTTTACGTTTATTTCATCTACCATTAAAAAAAAAGATTTAGGGAGAGTCTTTCTGTTTTGCTTTATTGTTTTCTGTGCTGTATAGTCCAATTTATTGTCTACAATTCCATTAAAATCTCCCATCATAACTATATT